CAGGAAGTCAGAGGAGGAGAGGGGACAGGAAGTCAGAGGAGGAGAGGGGACAGGAAGTGGCCGTACCTTCCCTTCGTGCCACAGCAGGTTGTACTCGCTGAGGTCGGCGTGGACCAGGTTACACTCCTGGAACAGCGTCTGCATCACCTACAGGAGGAGACGCATCATTCAGCTGCTGCACGATTCCAACAAACGCCTTCACTATCTGCTGATATTTAGCTCAAACAAAGTGACACGAACGCTGCTCGTTAACTTGTGATGAATTCTCTCCGATGCTGCGTTTGAGTAGAAGTTTGATAAACACATAAACGAGACGGTTTGAGGCGACACAGGTTCAAATAACCCACAGTGTTCACTACAAACAGCACATTTTACAGAAATAAATCCAAACTTATACATCAGAGCTCTGTTTCATCTCCTCTTCTTTCCTCTTAATCCCCTCATGTTTAACTTCTGGATCATGTGACATAGAGAAACGCATCATTTTGGTTTTCGGACTAAATTTTCTCAGAGCAAAATATCCCAACTATATGCTTCGGATGAGTAGTTCAAGGACCGTGGGAAAGCTGTAACTCAGTGTCTTGCTCTGATAAAAGGTGATTTATTCTGCCTTTTAAAACCAGTAGATAAATACAGACTGTTGATGTTTACAGGACCAGCTTGTGACGCTCCGTATGGACACGTTAACTCGGCGGCGGCGGTACGTACGTGGAGGACCTGGTAGTAGGCGTCCTTCATGTCCTCGGAGCCCAGCATGGCGTCCTTGAGCTTGGGGGCAGGAACGTGGTCCTTACCGATGAACGACAGAACCAGGATGTGCTTCTTCAGCAGAACCACGTCCGGACAGGGAATCTGGGCCTTCTTCATCCTGAACACGAGTCACGTTTCATCACATGTTCAGACAACTTGACAGATTCACAGCATCAAAGAGAAACATCAGCTTCACAGATTAAACACTTTCTGCTATAAAATGTTCTAGAACTCGTCGTTTTATTTTCTCACTGAAGCCTGAGGGAACATCTGAGGAACCATTGGAGACAAAAGCAGTTTTTTCTCGTCGTGTCGTCGATTCAGGATCGACGATGTTTTAATGTACGGAGTCGTACCTCACTCCGGCTCTGGTAATTATTTTATCAATCGGCTCTCAAAGTTCAACGAATACCACTTCCTGTCACCCAGTATTTCAGATTAAAGTTTAGTTTTGTGTGATTGGAACATCAGGCTTCTCATGACGGCTTGAATTTATTTCATACTCCACCTATAATCAGGTTATTTCATCTGAATCCATGACCTGATGAGAAACTGTTTTTATCTCTAATATCTCCTGTTGATGTTCAAATGGTTTCAAATTTTAATGTGAGAAAAGACGACCCTGCTCAAAGTGTCTCTACGGGTATCTGCTGGTTTTTATATCTGGGAAAGTGTTTGATGGATGAAGCTAAAATATCAGATTTAAGTTTTTATTTATATGTCCTGATATAAACATTTCAGACAAATCAGAAATTGTTCTTATAATCTGAAGTCCTATTTGAGACTTTTATTGTGAAGGGTGCAGTGAGCCCTGGCCGGCGTCAGACACTTTGGGTCGAACCGTGGCGGGCCGGTTCTGGTACCTGGCCAGGTTGTGCATCTCCTTCTCGGCCCAGAGCCGGATGATCTTGCGCGGGTTCAGCTTGCTGAAGCGGTCCTTGAAGCGGTAGTCGTCCTTGATGTAGCGGTCGCGGTTCTTGAACTCGTTCAGCGTCGTCTTGAACACCTTCAGAACCACCTCGGCCGGAACCGGCTGCTCCTCCAGGCTGGCACACAGACACACACACATAAAGACAGGCACTAACATCTGTTCAAGGCAGTTTTCTCTCTTAGTTTTCGTTTCCTCTCTGGTGTTCAAACATCTGGCCTCCGTCTGACCAGGAGCTGCTGCAGCCCTCCTCCTCCCCCCTCCCTCCTCCCCTCCCCTCCTCCTCCCTCCTCCCTCCTCACCTCCCTCCGTCGGCGTGGAACACCACCGACTCCTTCCCGGTGCTGATGCAGCCGTTGATGTTTTCCAGCACGCCGGCGTTCACCATCTTGTACATGAGCAGGCGGGTGCGCGGGTCCACGGCTTGTTCCTGAGGACAGACCGGGGGGACAACCTTACATCGGACCGGTTAGGTCGGATCGGACCGGTCCTGCGGCGGACAGGATCGACGGTTTCATACGTACGGCGGTGGAGTGCTCCTTCTTCTCGTGCAGCCGGGCGCTGCGGCGCTGCTCGCTGTAGCAGTGCTGCTTCAGGGAGTTGAACACCTGGTTGGACAGCTTCAGGTCCATCCCCAGACCGTCGCCCACGTGGACCTCCGGAGCGAACTGGAGACAGACAGCCAAGGTTCACCTCTGGTCGGATAAACCGGCCTTCATACGAAACCAACCACATCTGAACCCAGAACCTCCTCAGAACATCTGGTTCTGTATCTGCAGCACCAGAGTTCTACCTTCAGACTGTGAATGTTCCAGAGATCCAGAACCTTGAAGTCCACAGAGGAGGGTCCAGATTGATCCCTTTAATGGACTTTTTCCATCATTTCTGAGTCTCTGGTTTGTTTTGGAGAAACTTTGAGTCAATCTGGACAATTTAAGTCATTTAGAGCAAATTGTATTTCATCGGTACCCTGGATGTGGTTCTGGTTCTGATCATTCACCAGAGAAAATACATTTTTGTTCATCTTCAAGTCTCATTTTAACCCTGATGATGCCGCCGCTGCCGCCGTGCTTCATAGAGGGGATGGTCGTATCAGCATGTGTGATGGTGGTCGGTCAGAACCAGTTCCAGACTATGGAAGGACCGTTTCACCTCCAGAACCAACCAGCTGATCATCTACAGACAGGATTCACTCTGAGGTGGAGTAGTTCTCTATTAACGGCGTATTTGGACATTTTGACATGAACTAAACGTCATAAATCTGGACCCTCCTCTACCAAGACCTCTGAGGTATTCACAGTCTGACGGCAGAACCAAACGGGTTGAAAACGTTTGACAGGCTGGTCAGTCGACTGAGAGCAGGGCGGCGTTTCCTTACGTTGTCCATGCGGGCGGTGTTCTTGCGGCCGCAGGTCTCCTCGTCGTGCTTGGTGGTGATGTTCTTGCCCTTCCCCATGAAGCCTCTGCGGGGCGTCGACTGAGGCTTATCTGGACGATGACAGACAGCGTTAGAGCGTCACAGGTACAACACAGGAGGGCGTGGACACAACAAGAGCAACGTCATCGGGTTTGTTTGTTCGGACCGTCGGCTGTTCCAAAGGGCAGGACTATAAAACCCTCCATGGTTTAATCCTTCACTGGAACATTAAATAACGCCTCACACGGACAATCGGACCTTTACAACCTCCTCCTTTTACAATTTAAACCCCAGACAGGGAGATGACACAGCAGAGAAATCACTAAAAACATCCCTCGTTGTTCACGTTGTAGCCGCTGATCGGCGACCAAACAGGAAGGGAAGGTTCTGGGTGATGTTTACTCACCGTTTGCTCATTTTAGAAGAATAGAAATCACTAAAAACAGACAAACAGACGCTAAACTACTGATCATTTAGGTTTCATACATAAAACGTTTGTCCAGGAGTCCACAGCTTTCAGCAAATCTGGGACATAAACACGACAGACATGTATTTAAACTTTTAACCTGAATTCTGATTGAATCTTGAACAGTAAAGCTGCTCAGATCGTTTCATTTTACAGACTCTGGTCATTTCTGCAGACAGTTTTTTTTAATTTATCTTTATTTCCTGAACACGACACGCTACGATTTGAAGCTTAGTTAATTTTCCTGACGGAGCTGAAGTCTCACGAGTAGTTCAGGGACTGTTGGAAAGTTCAATTCTCTCTGTTTCTACAGTTTCTTCTTCAGACGGTTAAATCAGAATCCTCCCTCGTGTCCTACGGCGCTGAATTTGTCGTTTTTCCGATTTGAGGCGTTTAACCTGCAGGACGAGCCACAATCAACCGTCCAGGCGTTTGTCATCCGTCGCTACACGCAGGTGGCGTTTCCGTTATTCTGTCCACCGTCCCTACCTGCTCTGTAGGGGTCGTGTCTGGTGTCCTGCCAGTCCACCTCGTCCTCGGAGCTGTCGCTGTCCTCGTAGGGGTGCACCATGCGGTAGTTCTCAAAGGAGATGGACACTGGGAGGAGAACCATGAACAGATGTGTTTACAGCAGAAACCTCCAGAGACCATCCAGCAGCAGGAGGCCTCATCCAGAGGCTCTGAGGAGGCGCTCCTACCTTTGCTGTCTCCGTTGAACTTCTTCTCCTCCCGCCGCAGCTGGCTGTCGAACTCGCGGTCGAACTGCATCTGCAGCATCTGGGCCAGCATCAGGTCGCTGGTGGTGTCGGCCGCCTCGTCGGTCAGCCGCGGGTCGGACGCTGGTCTGGACACAAAGAGCACATTCAGCCTCGGCAGCTTCTGGTTGGTTCTAACGGACTCGGTCTCCTCTTTAGTTTGACAGAAATCATTAAAACGACACTGAGTGACTGTTTAGTTTACAGAAATAAAAACAAACTCGTCGTCACAAACGGAACCAGTTCAGCCGATTGAAGCTGAAACAACACCGAGACTGAAAGAAACTAAAGGACGGATTTCCACATTTCTGTGTTTGGTCGAGTTTAAGACGTGTTTAGAGATAAACGACATCGAGGCTCGGCCAGTAAACGCCTCGTTACAGAACCACCGACCCGACCCGCGAACGTTTAACCGCCTGAAACCCAAAACCTGACGTCACGCCATTAATCTGAAAAAACACTCAGCTCGCCAAAATAATTCATAGAAAATCAAACACTTGTAGGAGATTCTGGACTGAACCGGCGCCTCTGTGACCCCTAAAAAATAAAATAAACGGTAAAATAAAATACGCTGAGTCACCGTTTCTCAAAGCGTCGGTGGCACATGTGGAAAAGGTTGATGAATAAAAACTGAAGAAGTTCTCGTTCTGATTTCGTGTCGTTCTACCTGCACAGAGAACGTCTGAGCTGCAGGACTTTAAAGTTCAATGTGAGGAGATCAACAGGAGAAACGTTTGTGTTCATCCAGCCGACTGTTCTGTAAGTTCTGCTGCTGGAGGTGAACAAACTGGACTATTTGACCTCTTAGAGCCTCAAACCGCTGACGTCAGGTTGAGTTTTAATCAGTTCTCATCTGTTTTTAGATCTGAAGCTCTGAATGCTGTAGAAACACCTCCAGACGGCGCTGGAGCCGACATTTCAGGGGTTAAACTGTAAGAACCGGATTTAAAGGATTCTCTGCTTGTGCTGAAACAGTCGACCCGTAGCTGGAAGCAGCTCCGGTGGGTTCCTCGTTCTGATCGGGTCGGCCTGTCGGTGACAAATGACCACACGGTGGCGCCGCTGGACTCACTCTGACAGCGCCGGGAAACCGTTGTCCTCTTCGTCCAGCTGCCGGGCCAGTTGTTCGCTCATCACCTCAGCCAGAGAGCAGGACGGCGCCGCCGGGGCCACCGAGCCCCACGGACTCTGGAGCAGAACCAGAACCACGGTAGTTAAAAGACAGTCATGAACACATAGTAAATAGAACAGAGTTGATTCTTCTCCAACTTTCTCTCTTTCGTTCTACCGACACTCGTGTTTTCTTTATTTTACGACTCATCTGTTGAACTGATCGACTATCGATGGTTTATAACACGTCAACAACAACAACAACAACAACAGAAGAGCGTAAACGTCGTTTTGTTTCAGCAAATATTCACTCAGCAGTAAAGAAAAGCAGAAAATCTTCTCCTCTGAAACGTGAACATTTGACTTTGTCACTGCTTTTGTTTAAAGACTAAAAATGATGAATTCATTGATCAACTATTTGTTTTATTTCTGCCTGATATCAAATTTAACATTTACACCGTCACAGAAAGTCTCATTAATTATAAAGCTGTTGGATTATAAACACAATCTTTTAATTTCATCCTCTTTAAACACCTTTTGATGTAGAACTAGATCCAGCTCGGTCAGTTCGTTCTTACGTCGCTGTACGTCTGTTTTCCCTTTTTCCACTGCCGGTGGTTTTATGGTTTCTAACTCGTATTTGGACATAAATGTAGAACAGTGAAGGTGTTTTGTTATTAAATGAACCTTTCTGGACCTCATATGGTTAAATCCCATCAGAGCTGTATGTTTGTGTCGCTGTTCTACAATAAAAAAAAAACAAATGAAGTGAATCATTGATCACATAATTATTAACTATTAAATTAACCACAAACTATTTTCATCATCAGCTCATCGGTCTGAGGAACCTTCAGAGGTTCCAGCATCTTCAATGTGAATGTTTTCAGGTTTCCACATCCAGGAGATCATTAACCAGCTATTAAAGTGATAACAGCGGATTAATTCTGAGCTAGTGAGACGGAAACAGGACCAGGGTTTGTTCAGTGAGCTGCTTGGTCCCTGATGAGTCATGGAGGAGGAGGACTTGTCCAGACATGTCTGAGCTCCACCTGAGCCCGGCTTAGCAAGGCTCTGGCCTCAGTTTAAGCTTTAAAAACGGACTTTTCCGAACATGAAAACACACAAAACACCAACGAAAGAACGGGGCCTGAGAGTAAAAATGTAAACTGTGGACTCCTGAGAGCTGAACAGGAAACAGGAGGCCGTGAAGCGGCTGGTGCGTTCAAAACCAGTTCACCTGCTACTGACAGAGCTCAGGCCGTCCATCAGACCGGCTACACCTGGGTGGAGGTGGTTCATGTAGATGTAGTCACTGTGCGAGTCAAACATTCAGCCTTAAACTTGATTTAATTCCACCAACAGCTTCACTTTTAACCTCCGAACAGGCTCCAGCTCCTGAAACATGATGCTGCGTTCAAGGGGCGTTTCTAAAGATAGAAACTTCCAACACTTTACCTTCACATGTCAGCTTCACCACTTCCACACACTGACACTCCGGATTGAGGACGTTTCTTTGTATTTACGTACTTTTAACTGCTGTAAATCTACTTTAATTGAGAGTCATCGATCGGGTCTGAAGTTTGGAGGCTGAACAGAAACAGCAGCGAGCTCGGGTCCGTTTTAAGCGAACCGGCTGCTCGTCTAAAGTGTTTTCCAGCCCGTGACTCAGCGCCGGAGCTGATTTCCATGTGAAGTGGTGCCAAAGCAGCTGCCACTGAGGCTCATTGAGCCTTTTAAGGAGAACACTGTCACAGCGCGGCCATGTTGGCTAACGTTAGCAGCTAAGGTTAGCAGCTAGCTACAGCGGCTGGTTAAACAAAGACAGCACAGCAGAAGAGAAGATGACAAGCCGCCACACGGAGCTCCTCACCTTTGGCGTTTCTGCTGCGACTCCGGTTTGATCCATGGCTCAGATTCCGATTAATCGATTCTTCGCGCGGAGGGAGAATGGTGGCTAGCAGCGGAGCTAACGTTAGCGAGCGTCGGGGGGCGGATTCAGCGACTGAAAAGTCCCGAAAATGACACGAAAAGCAAAAGTTCCTGGACGTGACACGGACAGACAAGTGTTGTAGGAAGCGCCTCGACGACAGGAGCAGAGGTCACGGGTCGGTGAGGAAGGTTCTCCACAGAGATCTACGGCGAAGAGAAGAAGAGGAGAAGCTGCTCCGAAGAGTTTTAACAGCAAAGTGAACCCTGGTACCACCGGATGTACGTCATGGTCGGGCAGGACTACAAGGCGCTTTCACAATAATAGTCATCAGGGGCCTTTTAATTTGTTAAGCTTCATTAAAAAGAAAAAAAAGAAATCTTCTTCTTCTTATAATAATAATAATAATAATAACAATAACAATAATAATAATAATAATTAGAAAAATTGCATTATTTTTTCAGTCTGAACTAACTTATTATTATTTAATTCATATCATTATTAATAGATGATTAATTAAGATGAATTAATCAATGAGTAGTATTTTTTTCCAAACGGAAATGCCATCATTTGTCACCAAACTTTGATGATTACTGTCTGACTTTACCAAAAATTATTATTTAAGCTTTTAATTTGTAATTCTACGAACCAAATAACAACCGCCTGATACCATTATTATATTATTGTTGTTTAAAATGTGCAGTTTTCCTTAAGAAACATGCCACGAGTTATTATCAACAACGAATAAACTATTTTTCTACAGAAAACAACAAACGACTCATTTTCACTGATCCATAAAACATTTTATTTTATTTTTGAAGCTATATTAAACATAAACTGTTTAACATAACTTTGAACTAAAGCTGGTGTTCTGCAGATGAACCCAGAAGAACAAAGAATAAGCAGGAAACCATCCAAGTGAATAAACAAACGTGTATCACCGGAAGCGCCGCGTTCAGTATTAATAGAAACTCTGCAGCACACGTAACCTACATTGGGTGCGCGCGCACCAGCACGTGCGCGCGCGCACTGAGCTCCCACAATCTGTCCAGGTTGTTCGCGTGAGCGCGCGCCGTTAGCAGCCCGTTTCATTTGGGAGCGCGCAGGTGTGTGAAGTCACACGGTGTTACCATGGAAACCGGCAGAGTGCGCTTTCAAAATAAAAGGACTGCTGTACTGGTTTGATTATAACGAACAGGACTGATGTATAAATACACACATAGAGCAGCCATAATAACAAATAAAACAACAACAACAGATGGTGGTTGTAAAATAATTATTTTTCCTTGACGCTTAATAATTGGTTACAAATTAAATCATTTATTTATAACAACAACAATAAAAATATTATGTATAATAATAATTTTCTTTACAGGGAAAAATGATAAATATTGTGATAATTCCAGTTTTTTATATTAAATAAATAAAACAATAATAAATACTAATCATATATTTTGCA